GCGGTGAGGCGGCGGCGAGGGGGCGGCGGGTGACGGGGAAAGGGAGCAGCGGGCGACGAGAGGTAGGAGGTGCTCGCCCGGGCGAAAGTCGCCTTCCCGACGGTCCCCCTTGGCGCGCTAGGGGCAAGGCCTGAGGGCGGGCGGGCGGGTCTGTGGCGGGCGCGGGCGGGGGGGGGGGGATAAACGCTGCGCCGCCCCCGCACCAGCGACACCGGCCGCGGCTCGCCTCCACGCGCCGGCTCGGAAGAGGGGCTGTCGGCGGCGCAGCAGAGCGGCTCGCCTCGGCGCTCGAGCCGCCAACAGCCCCACTCCTCGACGTGACGGCCGTTCCCAGGGCCGTCCGGTGCGCGCCTGACCCACGCCCCCTCTCGCACCCCTCCGACCCCCCCTGCGCGGCGCACCTATCCGCTGTGCGCCGGCTCGAGCGCCTATCGCCAAATCGCGACGTTTGAGCGCAGCGCACGCGTCCCACACGTCACGCGCGCGCAGGAGAGCTTGCGGCGGTGCTGTAGCGTGTACTCGCCGAGGGCATCGCGCCGAAAACCCCGCGCGTTCCGCCCCAGCAGAGGCTGCAGCCGATGCGACAAAAACACCACTGTAAAACGGTGAGTACTTGGGGTTGAGTGGGCTTGCTTGCTCCCTAAGCCGGGAGCAAAAATGCAAGAAACCTAGCTTAATCGGGAAGTCGGTGCTAGCGGAGACTAGCGGAGCCGGAGCCCCGTTTCCGCACTGCTGCGCGGCGCACGGTGCCTCCGGGGGCCCCCGCCTCCCCCCAGAGATCACGATCCCGGCGTGAACACGACTAACTGACGGATCCGCTCCTGACAATTGTACGCACCGCACTGCGGCGCGTGCGACTGTCTTTGTTTGAAGTAAAAAGTCGGATCAGAGCGGCGTCGGCGGGGAAAACTCCGACGCCGAAAGTACACGTCGAGTCGCGTGTGTGCAGTAGAGGGTGCGCAGCGTCCTAATCTAAAATCTGAGGATTCAGGATTCAGGCATCGCTGCAGTGAGGTCAAAGTGAGTTTATGGATGTGTGAGAACGGTACGGGACACGAGGAGTCACGCGGACCGACTCGTCGGTGACTCTGCTGCACGCCGTTTCAGAATTTTTCTCAGCGTGAGCGAGACGTGGAAGAGTGCCACCGTCGGGTAGGACGGGTCGGCCCGGAGTATCAGAGTAGCCGTCGTGGTCGCGGCGAGCAGCACCGGCTGCTCCGGCGCTGCGTCGGCACCAGGGGAGCATGTCCACCGCCACTTCGCGGTCGCAGCGCTGTTGTCGCCCGAAACGCCGCTATGTACCTTTTCGGGCAAACCATCGAGCTGCATGTCGATTTCGACGCGACGGGCGCATGGAGGCATCACGTCTCCATGCGCCCGTCAAGTCGGAGCCAGTCTGCGGCGACCACAGCGCTTGCAGGAGGTACATGCGAGCTTTTCAGAGTCATCTTCGGTCGTTGGGTGAGACTGAGAGGGGGTGCAGCTTCGCCTGAAAAACAAGAACACGCACACACACACGCTCCGATCAGGGCCATGAAGGAGAGGGACAGGTTCCACACAGGCACGAGCAGGATTTTGGACAGTGTGCTGTGAGAGAGGCTTGTGCACTTGGAGCACTTGGAGTGCAGTCAGCAAGCAAGCACATAAGGGAAAGAATTCTTTTCCTACCAAGTGCAGTTGGGGTGACTCCTCGCTGGCTCGCTGCTGCAGCAACCGTCTGCCACCACCAGAAAACTCATGGATCCGTTCACCCTAACGATCGCGGTCGAGCACAACTTTGATGTCTTTTACTCCATTTTGCAGTTCCTGCTGCCCCACCGGCCCGAGCGCTCACGCGAGCTCTGGCGCAACGGTGCGGCGGCCTGCTCACGCGCAGACGGGTGAGTTCCCCATCACGCGTTGGCTGCTAATTCTAGGCGGGCAGCCGGCGGAGATCGACACCGCCGCCTGCCTCGAGGCGCTCCGCTGCTGCAACAAGCGCTGGAGGGCCTTTTTCGCGGAGGTGCTGCCCGACGGCCACTTTTTGTGGAGGCAGCTTCTGAAGCAGCTGCACATCGGGCGGCACGGGCCGGCGCTGGTGCGCTTCGCGGACCTGGTCAACGCGCACACGGAGAACATAAACTACAAGGAGCGCTTCTGGCTCGCCCTCAAGAAGCCGTACGAGTATGTCACGAAACCGCTGGTGCTCTCCATGTTCCGGCTGCTCGCCCGGCGGGCGGAGGAGGCGCTTCGCGACGGCGTCCCCTTCTCGAAGAAGTTCGACAATGAGGCGGATCCGCACCAACCCGCCCCACCCCCTCCCCACCCCCTCCCCACCCCCTCCCCACCCCCTCCCCACCCCCTCCCCACCCCCTCCCCACCCCCTCCCTGCTCCCTCCCTGCCCCCCTCCCCGCGCGCGCGCAGGCGCGCGGGTGCTCCCACGCCCTCGTCTGGACTCTGCAGAGCAGCGCCGGCCCACGCGGCCAAGAGACGCGTGCGGAGCTGCTGATCGAGTTCGAGGAAGCTCCCCCCCCCCCCAACCACCACCACCACCACCGCACACGCACGCACGCACACACACACACACAC